TAAAGGTTTGGGTACTGAATCATGAGTTTAGAGAGAGAGTATTAAATTTTCAATTAATACCCCGCTCTTTGAGGCAATAGAGTAAATCTTATTATCATGTCGTCAGAGAATGAAATTTGAATATTAATTAACTAACTATCAAACTTGCATGCTATCTGTTTTAATTTTTGAAATATGTATTCCTGTATAATCACTCACATGTGTATCTTAGCTTCCTACGTAAATAATTCCCCTGGGAAATTATTTCCCCTGAAAATAATCATCGCTACACATAGAGATGCTTATTGTCCAAAAAACATACCTCGCTTGAAAATAGACATGTGTGTAGCACTGGATGTTTTTCTAATTATTTGCGTTATTATATAATACTTTCACTAATATGTCCACATTCCTCTTTTATCACTTCATTAATATTAAGTTAATACTATTATTATACGTCTATTTTCGATGTTCGACTATTATTATTTAATAGGATGAAATCGGCAGCAATACCTAAAAATAAAAGTTTCAGACATAAAGAAGGAAGAAGCTGAGTAATTAAACTTCAGAATTCTTTTAAGCAGTTTATGATGATTATTTATGTGTTCTTAATTTTTAAGCATATTATTCTGAAATGTGGTCACAACATGTTCTTAATTAAAACTAAACTAATTTGACGTGAATAGAGTTCTTTAGAAATGTTTTTTTTTTAAAGTTATTTTATTTCGGTAACATTAAGTGTTGTCAAGAAAATTGATCGGAAGCTACGGATAAAATGACGATATGACCTTTACCGTGAATTCAAAGGAGCGTTGTAACTTTCCTCATTCAAATAATAACTTTTTTAATCAAATAATTTCTGTCGAGAAACGTTATTTTGCTTACGATACAATATGTTTGTGAACTTATTAATATGTGTATGTACGTATTTACTTTGTATCATTACATTTAAAATTAACAATACAATATGGTGTACAATCTATCGCAAATTTCATTGTACAGTTAACTTATATTTTTGTATTTGATTATGTAAATGGAATTTGTTGTTTGTGATATTAAATAATGGTTCCATTAAATATAATACGATAACTATATGTCGTCGAATTTTAATAATAAAATATTTTGTGAGTAGTTTTTATTTGTAACATTTAATTGTTAATTCTTTTTTCATGTACTTTTATACCGAAACTACTTTTACCGTTAATTTAGCCTTTTTAATTGTCATTATATTATTTCCGACGTTCATTACATTACGACGTTGTTATGTCATATGAATATATTATTATGTTTGTTACATTATTTCATCGTACATCGACTATGAAGATTGTTAAGTTTTCAAAACATCGGAAAAAGGCGTGATTAAACCGTAAAAGAAGTTTTAACGATGTCTACGAAATGAAATCTCTCTCTATGAAAATATTATACTTATGTAATTTAAAAAAAATCACATTTTCGCGAGGCTAGACACTATTTAAAATGAATTTTTAAATTGTTTTCAACATTTTTATGGATCTTCATTGTGCAGGTAGAAAAGTCATCGTGTTCGATAAAAACCTAATATTTCAAATTGTTGCGTGTTCGACCTTGGACATTGAGGTCGTAGTGTCATTAGGCTACGGTTACCGGTTGTCATGTGTCAGCTGGTTAATTTGCTTATTTCATCATCAACTTGGAATCGATTTTAAGATATCTAAACAAAACATCCTACTTATTTGCTCTATTCTCGTAGTTTCATGTAAACTAGAGGTCCCGCAGTATTCGAAATTCGACTATAATTAATTGGAATTGTAAGTTTGTATACTACATATTATGATTGTATTTTATACTTCTATAATCACAAATTTCGCCAAGACTACACTAGAAAAAATATTAACAAAGACAAACAATATTTAATCTATTCTCAATTTGACAACAGACGTCAAGAACAAAAGTTTGACAATAAATAGTACCTATGCATGCATGTGTGCGTCAAATACGTGGTATGTAGTGTGTGTAATGTTTTCTTTATTGAATTAATGTATCTTTTATGAATTATTTCAAAAAAATATTGGCATTGTGCACTTCTTCTCTATATTCTCTATAAGTGTGTAAAATTTCATACTCCTCCGTCCGCACAATTTTCGTAAAAAGGGATACAAAGTTTTTGCTTCACGTATTAATATATAGATGACAAACTATCACGGAAGTAATTTGGATTATACTGCAGTCAAGCAAATGCAAATCAATCGTAGCGAGGGTTCTTTATTATTTAAAACCAACGCTACTAGGCATATGTGTGGGAAACTACATATGACGATCCATTGTCTTTGTTAGTGGGCCGATAAATTATTTGGTTGCAAGACAATGTATCCATAATTCGTTTGTACACAATATTATTAAAAATTTTTTTTTGGTGGTAGGATTTATTGTGAGCTTGCGGGGGTAGGTACTACCGTCATGCCTATTTCTGCTCTGAAGCAGTGATGCGTTTCGGTCTGAAGGGTGGGGCATCCGTTGTACTGTAAAAGCTCAGACCTTAGAACTCATGTCCCAATGTAGATGACAGCATTTACGTTGTAGGTGTCTATGAGCTCCAGCAATTAGTTAACACTAGGTGGGTCGTAAGCTCGTCCACCCATCAACGCAATAAAAAATTGATTTTGGCGTAACGACAAATGATTGACTCGTCCATTACGACCAACTGCCGATGTTAGGTCCTTGGCCTATCAAACCTTTTCCTATAGTGAATCACGTGGTAAGATTTTTCGTTGTTTTGAATCATACATCCAAACTAGAATGTGGTTGTCTTACCGGGCAACTAAGTGGGACAGTGGTATTTGTCGGTACACGATGCGTATGGATGGTATATAAGTTTTTTAATTTCACACAATAATAAACACGTTCTTTTCTATTGAATTGGTTGGGGGACAAGCTCAAAGTCCACCCATTGTGAAGTGATTGTCGGAGCCCAATGATATAATAACGTGAATGTACCCAACCACCTTCACAGATAATATTAAACTATGAACTGTATAATATGGTGGCTGTCCTATCTTATAAAACGGAATTGGTAACTTCGCTTGGCTGCAGAAATAGGCGCGACGGTGGTACTTATCCCTGCGGNAATTGGTTGAGGGACAAGCTCAAAGTCCACCCATTGTGAAGTGATTGTCGGAGCCCAATGATATAATAACGTGAATGTACCCAACCACCTTCACAGATAATATTAAACTATGAACTGTATAATATGGTGGCTGTCCTATCTTATAAAACGGAATTGGTAACTTCGCTTGGCTGCAGAAATAGGCGCGACGGTGGTACTTATCCCTGCGGGCTTATTGCTGACGTATAGATAGATAAATTTAGGAAGGTTAAGGAAGTCTATCAGAACTCAGAAAGGGCCGATTTAGCTACATAGACAAATTATTATGTTTTTTTTTCCTACCTAAGCTGATAGCCTTGAGAGACTATATCAACGTCTCCTTAACTAGTAGGTGAGCTCACGGGGCTCAAACCTGATGACGTTGCTAACACGAACCCTAGCAAGAGCCGTGCTTCGCAGAATCTACCACCGGATCGAAAACCGACCCACTGAGAAGATCCGGCGAGAAACTCAGTGGGCTGTGTCTGAGGGATTTTTTTACACTCAAGTCTTATCGTTACCAGATATTATTATCTTTAGAGATTCAATTTTAATACTTTATAGCAGTATTAAGCTTGTGTGTTCGTGAATAACGTGAAGAGCATCAAAGATGTTCGTGCTAATGTACTGAAATATATTATTTAATGTTATTTCCTTTTTCATTTAGCGTTACCTTTAGCGAAAAAAATTATTACGCAAGATATCTTTCAAGGGAAAAATTAAAAAAATATGCTGGGTCCTCGAAAATGTATTCGGATTCATGTGGTTTTTTTATCTGTATTATATGTTAGGAAAACATCTTGATTAATCTACAAGTAATAATGTTCTTGTTATTATCTACGACTATATTGGATAAAACCTCCTTCCCTAAGTAGTACTTACAGTATTCGATTACAAATAAACGATTGTACGATCATATTTAATTACATCAGCGATACATCAATGAGATTAATTAAAAAGAATGTAAAATGACTCATTTCAATGCTATTTCAGAGTACATACTATGCATGTGGGCGCGATAATCCGATAAAGCCTACAAATATTTGAGTAAAGCATACGATAAAATTGATTTACAAATGACCTAAATCAAGTGATGTGCAGTATGGTGTTGGTCTAGAAGAAGTTGTGTGTTGTCTTGGCATAGGAATGGCACAACTCAATATCTTCAAGCGTTTATCGTAAAAGGCGGTTAAGGGTTGCACTAGCAGTTTTCTCCGAGTATTATTCCAATATGCTTGGATTGATACCCTTATCCTCTCACGATCGGATACGAAGCAATCATGCGTATTTAGCGGTTTCATCAAAAGCAGTTGTCTCAAAATTGTGTATTTAACCTCGTATCCCAAGATGAGTGGCGGCGTAAACCTTATGATGTTTATGAGCTTCGTTGACCACCCAATGTCAGATTGGCCGTGAGCTTACCTACCCCAAATTAAAAAAAAAAAATGCTCCAGAGTATTCACAAGTAAATCACTAAAAGCCCGTATTTTAAAATTAAATTTAATTAAAAATGTTTGTTTGAAATTAATATGCTGTGTGTTAAGTGAGTTGGCTTAAGTATCGTATTAAATTGCTTTCGGGGTGAGCTGCGAACAAAGGACTTAAGAGCTACGGTACCTACGATCTTATATAGGCAACAAACCGATTAATAATAGTTGTAAATATACCTCATTTAATATATACGTATATTTCTAATGATTTACTATTAGACTATAAAACAGCGCATGGTCCTGATAGATTGACTGCTCACCATCGCTCATGGACATTAACAACGCTAGAGGCATCATGAACTATTTACTTTCCATTTGATGAATTTACAATACGATTAATTATCGATATGATTTGCTTCTTTACGATTGATTCGTTATTCATTTGCTACTTCAACGAGACATGTACTCACGCATCGCGCCTAGTTCGTTCATCCCAGAATTTTTCCCAGAACGTGGATCTGTTTTTGATGCGTAGCACGCTGGTGCTGAGTGTGCGTGGTAAGGTGCTGCCGCTGCTCGCTACGGACACGCCGGTCGCCATGCTGTGCTCCGACGCGGAACTTTTAGCAATGAACGAGGAGCCTGCCACCCCGCCGCCTAGCCTGTCTGACTGCGATCCTGACCGATGCATGATTGTTGGTTCCCACTCACTCACTACATACGTCACTGACGATATTTAACGTTTTATCTTGAAGACACAGTCATCGGTTTCGGTCTGGTTCCCCTTCGATCCTCCCGCGGAGCCAATTTGGATATTTACTCCACCCTATATTTACGTGTTTGCGGAACCCCAAGCGAGACATTCGCTCGCAATTACACGAGCATCTTCCACCGACTGCAATGTCAATATAAACAAAATATAATTGTTTCTGGTTACTTTTATATGTGTTTCTATCACGTCGACATACATTTGCTCAGATAAGTTTATCTCACTTACGCGTTCTTATCGACAGTACAATTGTTAAAATATCACTGATGTTTTTCATGAAGAATATCTTCATTGATTCATATGGTCAAGGACGCCGAGAAGGTCCCTGTGTTTTATGTAACAATAACAAAACTGGGGACACAGTTCGGTTCAGATCTTTGACAATAATTTATTTACTAATCATTTTCTCCGGGCGCGGAGATGAGCCACGAGGAAGATCAGCGGACGACCTCGAGACTTCTCCGACGGTCTAGTCGCGAGCTTTACACCCTCCGTAACCATTAGCACATCTGGGTTTTTTCATGAGTATTACTAACACGTTTTATCGAACGTCACTTCGCGGAGCATAAAGGGATTAGGTGAATTAATCGTGTTTATGTCACAATAAGTGTGTTGGTTGTCGTCAGAACGAGGACTGAGCAGCAGAGGAACTGTTGCATCGCTCGGCGGACGACGTGGAAGTTGACGTCTTATCGGCAGCCCGCGCGGACTATCAATGGAACCGGTCGAGGCAGCGGGGCGCAGCGGCGGGCGGCGTCCCACTCTATCCGCGCGCCCGGCCCTCGCCGAGAGAACGCGACAGTACCCGAGGATAAATTTGGCGCTAATGGAAACTGGCGACGGTGGGCGCCGGTAATCAATGTTCGACGTGGAAATCGAGGGGCAGCATAACCATCATGAATAACACATCCTATTGATTCTGTAACTTTCTGATAGTAAAACAAGAAAAACAAAATGGAACAATTCGAACCGCGCAATATATCGATCGCGCTGATCGCGAGACGGAGAGCGGTACAACCTTCTGTATGTCAATACGACGTCGTTTTGGCATATAGCCTGACTTGTTCTGAATGCCTCATAAAATGATAGAGTATATTCATCTAGATTGTATTCTCAATCACTCGATAATATAATAAATAGTCTTGAATACATTATATTGAATACATGCATATATATTTCGTCATCGTTCCTTTTATTATTTTTCCTAATATTCCCGAGTCCATGACCGGACAAAGCTTTGTGTAGAACTGAACATACATTGTAAATTTTTCTAAGAAATTTTATTTATAATAATTCAGCCGTTCCAATTATAGTGGATGGGGAGTTAAGTAAGAAGAATTTTTTTTAATAGTTAAACAGTAGTGTATTTGCATATGTACAATGATAGGTACCTACTTAGTGAATTAAGCACCTTTGTCTTTGTCGAATGCAAAGAAAACAGTTGAACACTGAAGTTTCTTTGTGCCAAAGAGCGTTGCTCTGCGAATCTCTTATTTTACTTTTATAAAATACATCTTAATAGAATTATAAATTTGCTATATTTTTTACTCTTAAAATACTATGAAGCCAAATATTTAAGTTGTAAGTTAATAAATTTGATATTTAATGTACTAATTTCGATATAATTATGATAGGTTCTATTATTCAGCTATCTCAAGTGGCTTTCTTAATTGGGTATTAATTAATGTCGTTTGTAATTAATTAGCACTCGTTAAGTTCGTCGAAGCATCGTTGTCGATGATTCAATCGTTAGGTTAATCGACATTGTCTCATGAGTTTTTTGATGAAGCGCAAAAATGCTATGAAGATCTCTGTTATAAGGCCTTAGCCACAAGGGAAATCGATATCATCTTCCAGAAGCAAAGATGCATGAATAGCACTCTTAAGATGGAGATTAAACTGCTGTGATAGACAAGCCCATATAGTTTGATCCCAAGTCTTGGATTCTAATTTGCATAATTACTGGTGGTAGGACCTCTTGTGAGTCGGCACGGGTAGGTACCACCACTCTGGCTATTTCTGCCGTGAAGCAGTAATGCGTTTCGGTTTGAAGGGTGGGGCAGCCGGTATAACTATTCTAAGACCTTAGAACTTATATCTCAAGGTGGGTGGCATATTTAGGCTGTAGATGTCTATGGGCTTCAGTGACCACTGGTGGGCTGTGAGCTCGTCCAACAATTTAAGCAATTCAAAAAAAACTGATGGGATGTTAGCATTTTGCAGGCGGGATTCCACACTTGCATCGTAATATACTGACTCTATCCGGAAATCAACGCCAGACCTTCTGGTGATAGTCAGATTTGCTAACCAGTTCATCAAAGCGCCAACATTGTTTTCTTTTAATAATGAATAGACGGCTACACGAGTTTACGGAGAACACGGAGTTGAAAGTTTACCAGAACCCATTAATAATGTAATAATGATGTAATATAATGTAATAATAATAGTAATAATCATGAAGTGAATGTCGACACCCAATTAGAGGCTTGAGATCAAAAGCTCAATTGCATTACCGGCTGTTCCATCATGTAAAACAGAATGCCTGACTATTTCGCGGTAATAGAAATAGGCGAGACAATGGTACCCACTCACGTGACCTTATAATACGCTTTACCACCCGGCAAATGCCAGTTTACGATAGCAGTATGTTGGGATCTGCTGGTCATTCTCGGATGAGTGCTTAAGGCGCCCACGAAAAAGCAATCACTAGATGAATATAGTATTATATGTTCATTCTGTTCTTCGGTTTTCACGTATCGTGGATATAATTAAAACTAATTTTTGTTTTAATAGCCGTATAGGCAGACAAGCATACGGCCCACTTTATGGTGAGTTGTTACCATCGCTCATGGACGTCAGCAATGCCAGGGGCAGAGCCAAGCCGCTGCCTACCGTTTAATATTCTCCACAAGCCTCGTTTGAAGAAGGAAATGTCATAGCGCTCGGGAAACACCGTGGAGGGGAGCTCATTTTAAAGCCGGATGGTACGTGGCAAAAAATATCTCTGGAAACGCACTGTGGATGAACGTAGTGGCTCCAGATAGTATGGATGAACTCTCCTCCGATGGCGGGCGGTGCGATGGTAAAAACGAGATGATGGTTATCATCTCAAGCAATTCCTCAGAGCACTCCCCATGGAATATACGGTACAAAATACAGAGGGAACCGAAGTCCCTCCGCAGACCCAGAGGCTCCAAACGATCCGTGAGAATGGGATTATCGACAATCCGAACGGCTCCGGACGGATAATTCTCAATTTCCGTACTTAGCTTATGCAGCTGCTTCCCCTAACTCATTGCTTGAGGATCTTAGGTCGTGTAATTTTTTAGGCTAAAGTAACAAATCAAGTAGCCGAGGATTCGTTTGATTTTGAAAATTTTATAATTTAATTTTGTAAGTATACGTATAAGTAACGTCGATGCAATATTATCCAGAGTAATAGATATATAATAGATATATAGAGAGAGTAACTCAGAATAAAATAATCAATAGCAAATAATTTGTCTGCGAAATATTAATCAGAGTAAGAACGTATAAAAAAAAAGAATAAAATTGTATTTACAACGATTGTAATTTGTAAATAACACCGGATCCGGTTTTTTCACTTGGTTACATGCGATATCATACCGATTACCCATGAAGTTGAACCACTTCAACTACATAATCATTCATTAATATTTTGATAACGTCAAACGTATCATTCACTATTCGTGTTATTTTCGATAGCTTTGCTTGGATACCTATACACATGTATATAAATGACTCACTTTAAATTTCAACACTGGAAACTACAATTGTTTCCTGTCTTCTGTAGATTTTTATGTATAATTGTTTCATATATTATAATATTATTAAATTTAAATTTACTACACGAATTAGGCTCGTGGTTTAATACACGCTAAAACCTATCTATAATACTCGTACAATCATATAAATCGTTGAATAACAAAAACAGTAAAAGCCTACGTTTACTATGAAACAGAACATTAAAATATATCTATTATATGTATGTTTAATTCAGAAATTTCACATCAAAAAAAAGAAGGAACACACAAGCGTATTGAGGATCACAAAGCGTTACTGGATGGTAAGCCAAGAAAACTGAGACAGACAAAGAAAGCAGTGCAGTGCTAGTTAGTCGTGCGGAGTTGATAATACGTACGCTCTGTCCAGTTGTGCTGCCTCAGCCTCCTTGAATCTGTAAGCAATTAAAAAATAAGGAAAAGAAAGAAAGAACGGAGACTTCAGAGGGCATTAATTATGTTACGCCACCTAAGCGGGTTGGGGCGCGCTTTGTATGCGGGTTTGGTTCAGCGACACATCGAATTATATTGTGCTAGAGAGTAGTGTGGTGAGTGTGTATTAACAGGCTCTTTAGAAGTGATGGCAACAGCGAGAGACCAACTCGGTGCGTGAGCGTAATACGAACATCTTCAGCATTGTAACTTGATTGTTTCATCCACCAATACGCATGCTATCACCGAATGTTGGCTGTTGGTCAGTAAGCTTTGCTACTTGTTAGTTTGTTACAACATTTAAACGGCTTAAGTGATCAAATTATGACGTAGCTTACTCTGGTTCTTGGTCCGAAGCAGCGTTGTTTCGATGAAAGTATCTGTTCTAAAACTCGGGACTGACTCCAACGGCAACAATGCGTATTGTTGTTTCATATTTAAGGACAGATGAGTAGTTACCGCACTCATTTTGTAAAAATCAGAAGATCTTTATATATTTCTGACCTTTTCGTAGCAAAGAATGATATTATCATAGTGATAATAAACGATTAGGTAGGTGTTCAAACAACAATTACATAATAAGTGGAGTAGTGATAGCCTGTACATTATCAAACAGTGTCATCTAATAAAAGTGGTATCATCGTGAATGAAAGTTATAAAAAATGTAACAAAATTTTGTATAAGGAGCTCGGAAAATTTAAGAAAAAAACTGTAGACAGTTTTATTGTGTACCCCATGTATAAAACGTAATCAAACATTAGCTTATCTATGTTTGTTCTATTTATGTGTATTTGTTTGTTTGTCAAATAATCACAAATCTAATCCTAAAATTATAAAGATAATGATTTTCTCGTTACATTATTATTTTTAAATGTATGTAATAAAGAATGAAAAAGAATTGCAAATATTCTAATAGGGAAATATTAGAGCTAAGACTTTCTTAAATCGCAATTTGAAATTATTTTAGGTTCACAGTCTTTTAGGTAAAGTTGAAAATTGCATATAATATTTGACGGAACAGATTTTCAGTTAAAATTTGCGTTTGTGACCCATTTTTACTTTTAAAGATTCCGTCTGAAAAGCGTATTTAGAACTAGTTCCATTCAGTAAATTTATTAACATATTTCTTTGATCCTATCAAAGGACATCGAAATACGATACATATATTGAGAATTTTAATTGATCATATTGAGTGAGTATACGCAAAATTATCGTCCTCAGGATTTTATTGGAACGCGAGAACTATAATATTTCGTATTTTCTTTTTAGAGGAATTATAAAATTTAATTTAAGGGCTTAAAGGCTCAGGCATACGCTGATAATAAAATAGTATCAATAGCCCGGTTGAAAAATAACGTGGTATTTTATCATAATACCTATATGATTGATTGTTCATTGTTAGATAGTTTTGTTACGCCATGTGTTTTTAAATTACGTTAATTATACTATAATCAAGGTTTGGGAAATCTCCTTTGAATTCGTTCTCGAAGGAACGAACGCACATAATAAATGTTTTGACAAATCACAAGAATTTTTTAGTCCTTTGATGATGGCTAAAGACATGAAAATTTATTAA